TAATCCAAAACATTAATTTCAAAGGCGACCCCTCCATCGACCTAAAACAAACAATTTTTCAGTTCTTCTCGAATAATAACATACTGTTTGTGAAAACGTGTTCATACACTGTTTCTCTAACCTCGATAATATAATGTTTAATGCTATTGGCTGCTATACTGGGGCGAAGGGTAACCTTTGCCACAAAACCTCCATAGTTACTTTCTTTTGAATGTCTTTTTCAGTAAAAGTCACTTTTATATTATGACTCTCTCCAAAATAGTCAATTTTTATATAAACTCTTTTTTCAGTTTAATGCTTAATGTTATGGGTCGTATTCTTAGAAGGAGGGTTTTTCGGAGCCTCTTATTTTGTACCTCTGCTAAAAAATATTACGAATTAAAAAAAAATAACGCTTTAAAAACATAGGGCTGTAAAAAAGTTCACTGTATAAAAAAAAATATACTTTAAGATATTATGCTGTAGAAAAAAAAAAGGTACATTGTTTTTCAGAAGGTAACAATTTCATGCTAATACTATGGGCCGTATTCTTGGGTGGAGGGGTTCCCCCTCCCCCCAAACCCCCCACCCCTCTTGCGGGGGAAACCCCCGCACCCCCATTAAACATTCTAACTTTTGTAACTTTTGTGACTGAAAATTAGCTCGCCTTGTGACTGCGTAGTTACGATTCCTATTATTTTTATATAATAATTTGCAACAAAGAAAATCTGCCTTTTACTGATTTAGAGCCCATGAAAGCCACCCATTCAACGTCAAAACCGAGATGGATACAATTTGAAGCGTGATTTTTCAATTCTTTCAAAATCATCTGCCGTACTATTCATCTCTAATGGGGAAGACAAGACATGGACTGTGACATCTTGAGGAAGCTTTATGAACGATACAGCAATATGATTAGAGGCAATAGTATCATCAGCAATATGCTTGACATCGGTAGTGAGAGAAGGCAGTACCTTCTCTAAAAATCTTTGATTCGTAGCAACATTATGGGTAAAAAAAATTACTGGACGAGTCTTGTTCTGAATAAAGTAATTTTTGTAAATTTTTTTTGAAATATTCTTCCAAATGCGACAAAGATTTAGTGTGAGTCAGTAACATAAGCACAACTTCTTCATACTCGTTGCATACTGTATACATTGAAGTAAAAACAGAAGAGCCGTTGATTTTCCCCAATTTCTTAATTATCTTGAAAGAATGGTCACCCTTCAAGACTTCACCCTCAAGTTTAAGCATCTCAGCGTCCATGACAGGCTTCAATGATCTTAACATAAACGTGTACATATATTTGATATATGTTGCTATTGGAACAGTGCTTGCATATTGCGATTTATCATCAAATTCAGAAAATTTGGGAAAGTGATAACCTGATTTTTGTTTCGTCATTTTAATTGTCGGATTCTTGACTTTGTTTGATGCGGCATTAAGATATTTCATTTTAACTTTGTCGTATCTGTACATATGCAATTATCGTAAAATTTTGCTGATTCGTACTGGTCCAACAGAATTTTGAACAAGTGGACGCATCATATTCATCAACAAGGTAGAAATACCCGATTTATGAGAGAAAACTGCCGGAAATTCTGCTTGGGTACTTGCTGGTAACTGTCTGATAATTTTTTCATCGTAACGCTGGAAAGAGGAGCGACTATCAGCATTGTGAGAAGCTTTATCACCTGAGCATTCATAACGGTATGTCATTACATAAAAACAGCTATATATAGTTATCAGTTTGCTGAATATTTAAACAAATTTAGTGAACTTACTCTTCGATGTCAATAATTTTTCTTCCAATCGGATCAGTATTGATACCTTTTGACTCCAACTTGGCATCACATCCAGGATACTTTAAGCTTTTTTCTGCTGCCAAATGATGAGGGGCCCAAGGACAAACTTCTTTTTGGAAAATAAAGTTTTGTAGGGTCAACCTCACCTTCTAAAGCAAAACAAGGAAGAGGAGGGTTGACCCAAAAAGTACCACGCTTATTGTCAGAAACAGAACAAGAACAGAAAGAAGACTACTTGGTGACACGAGAGTCGGAGTAAAAATGATAAAAAAAGAAGGTTTATTTCAACGAAGGGGGAGGGGTTAGGACTAAGATCCAAAATAATGTTTTTCTAATAGATTACTCGCATCTATTGATACTATTTCTTATACATGGGAAAAGCTACGATGGGTTTAAATTATAGATTAACATGGGAGATTACCGAACAGATATCATGAGCACACTATTTGACAACGATGAGTAATTGAGATTTGACGAGTAATAGCAGGCTGGATTTAGTTGACATTGAATAATTAGATGGTTCGGGGAATATCTCTGATTTGACACGGGCCGAAAAACTGTATTGGGATATGAAGTAATAGATGATCGGAAAAAGTTTACTAAAATTGAGTCAGACAAGAGGCGGGAAATATATTGGAATACAGATTGGTGGTAGGTTTTACAAGGAATTCAGGAAGCGGGCAAGATATACAGATATGATTTTGGGTACAAGGTTTTACAGGGATTTTGGTAGCGGACAAGATATACTGATATTAGATTCTAGGACAACGTTTCACAAGGGTTTAAAATCAAGGCATGACCTAGGACATGATGAAATGAATTCATGACACTTATATTCTTCAGGTACAACACCCTTTTGAAGTCGGTTTTTTTATTCCTTTAGGTACGTTTTGATTATACTTCCAGTTTCAAGGCTACCAATTGGCTCTGAATAGAATTCGTCTGACACAGTATCAGTATTCTGCAAAAAAATTTCATCGTCAGATTCGCTGTCATCACTAAACATGCTAGCATCCTAAAAGCATAAAAGGATTAGAACAAAATAACAGCTCTACTTCAGATTTTTACCATATAATTTTCATTAACAGAATCTAAACTGTCAAAGTTTTCTGAACTTGCACCACCAGTTAGAACAACCGGGGCAGATATTGTACTGCTTTCAACAGTAACTTTTTTATCTTTTTTCAAAAACAATGAAGACAAGCGCATTTGAGCAGGAGATCTCCTTGGTACATATTTTGATCCAACTTTTCGGCCTCTACCACTTCCAGTTGACTTTGTCATTATTAATAATTTATATAAATATGAATTTATGATCTACAGGAATAAATGTATTCTTTATATAAATAAAAAATAAAATGGGCCCTGAAAAAAATATCTCGGAAACACTTTCAATTTCCTATTTTATAAATATTTAAAAGAACGCTAGCTCAACTAGAGAAATACCATTAGCTGGTTTTAACAAGCGCTAGCTCTAATAGAGCATTTCCATTGGTTTAAATTCCCCTGCTATGGTAAGCAGCCCCAAAATATATTTTTTTTGGGCAGTTTAACTTCACAAAATTGGCCAGTTTTTTTCAAAAAAGTGGGCGGACTTTTCAAAATTCGGTAAATTGAGAGTGGAAGCACAGTATTGTCTATGAACTATTGTTATGTAACGACCGAATATATCAAAGATTATTTAGGCGATCAAAAGATGATTTTGTTATATTTTAGTGAACACTAGGGGTCTCCAGTCGTCGAGGTTTTAAAAAATAATATTTTTTGAATAAAAATTAGCCAATCAGAATTTTTTGAATTTTTTATTCGAACGAGCAACTTTTTTCTTGTTCATTCAAAAAAAAAATAATAAAAAAATAAAAAATTACGTCATAATGACGTAGAAATTCCTGTGTAACTGAAATTGAGGTAATGTCAAACAGTAAAAAATCATGAGAAAAATGCATTATTAAGTTTCTTTTTCACTACTTTCAACTCTTTTTCTTTTTAAAAAAAAATAACATTAATTATGCCTCGTCAAAGTACCAAGCAAAGAAAATACAACGCTCACAATAATAGCTATTGTATGAAAAAAGAACTCACCAGAAAACAAATTGCATTATGGAAAGAATTTGCAAAGAATCTTGCTCTTGATAATGCTGAGACGGAAGATATCAATGATTTAATTGCTTTTTATCGCCAAAATTTGAAAAATGATGTGGACAAACAAATGCTGTAATATATTATATCCAAGAGATATGTAGCTAATAGGGAAAACAAAGTTCCAAAGTTGGTGACCAGAGAAAGAAGGTTGGATTTCCTGTTCAACGAAATTGATGACAGTGGATTTGTTAACGAAGTCAGAATGGACAAAGATTCATTCTTTGCGCTTTTGAAACTGATCCAGGACCATTCATTGTATCAGGATACGCCGCGAAATTGCCAAACAGATATCCACTTTCAATTGGCTATCGTTTTAGATCATTTGGGAACATATGAAAACGGTTCTTCAATTGAGAAAATTGCTAGACGATCAGGTGTCAGTGGTATGTAGTCATTATTGCAGTGAAATAAATTGGTATGCAGTAATAAATTAAAATGCACTATGATCCAAGGTAAGGCAGTTATTACCAAAATCTGCATAAATTTACCAATTGTTCTTTGTGAACCAATCATATCTCGTATAAGATCTCTATTCACTTTTATATTTTTGGTGCGAAAAAAAAAGTGGCAAAAAAGACATATTTTTATTTATAAACTATTATGGAATAGTTTCCTCAATGCACACGAACTTTTAAAACGAAAGTTTTTTGTATTTTGGAAGAGACAACCGTTTGAATTTTTTTGTTTATTTTACAGCTTCAGGAATTGGTGATTGATATGCATACCAGCGTTTTTCCACCAATTTTTAGGAAAGGGGTATATATAACCCGACCGATTTTAGGCAGGTAGTACGGAAGCTCTTTCTTTTTTTTTTATTTTTTTTTTGAGCTTCTTCATCAATAGGTGCTCTCAAGATCGGAAACCGAAAATAAATTGCCCAGTTTTTCTACAAAAATAGTAAAAGAAGTGCTTGAAAAAGCGATCTAAAAATGGGCAAAATAACACACATACATATATGGGTGGAAATAAAAATCTGCTCAAAGTCAAGGTACATTCAAAATTATTCGCTTGAAAAGGAAATGATAAAATAACAAAAGTTTTTAAATCCACATTTTTTTTATTTTTATTTTTTTCCTCCCTTTTACTTTATTACTACTTTTTATCATTTACCTTACTATGAACAACACTGAAGCAAATAACAACACACCCAACAACGTACGTGGTCGCGGACGTGGTCGTAGAAATGGACGTGGAGGTAGACGCGGACGTGGCAGACACGCTGGCACCTTTGTGTTTGTTGAACCTACTGTTCAGCACAACACCACTCCTGTCAACAACAGCAATGCCCAAGCAGAGAACAACAACGCTAATGTCGAAGATGACAATGGGCCTTCACGTCCATACAACGTATGGCCTGAGGTTGCAATTTGTATCCTTCTTGAGATCATGGCAGGCACCTACAATCACTTGTTGAGAAGACGAGATACTGCCTTGAAACAGTTTATCTGGGTTCATTCGGCAGCTCTCTTAAAAGAAAAGATGGCTGAATATGCAAACACCGATGCAGTCAGGGCTTTTATAGCAAATGTCACGCATCTCAGTATGCAACGCAAGTAGAAAGACATGAAAGCCAGATTCACCAGAGCCAGAAATGCAGCAAGAGAAACAGGAGTTGGTGGAACTGTCCCAGACATACCATAATATGAAGAAATTGCCAAGATCACTCAGGATGATCCTAGCATCCAACCTGAGGTAATTTACGAAAGCGTCAACATGGAGGAGAATGGCATTCGATCATATAGAAGATCAAACGACGTTGATTTAATGGATGCCATTGGATCCGATGGTCCCGAAACTACGTACTTGACACCTACGGAAGTCGATCAACTTGTGATCCAAAAAGCTTTGGCCGATCGATACCCCACTGAAGGATCTTCAGTACCATCACCATCAACAGCACCTGCACCTGCACCATCATCAACACCCTCATCCGCACCACCACCTCCACCTACATCCGCACCACCACCAACCTCAACACCAGCAACCGAACCACCAACACCAACACCAACATCAGCATCGGCAGTACCACCAGCATCGACAGGCGCAACACCCCCCACCTCGATATACATCCGCACCACCTCCACCTCCATATTCATCCGCATCACCTCCCACCTCATCAAACATCTGCACCTCCACCTCAACAAACATCCGCACTACCTCCACCTCAACAAACATCCGCACCACCTCCACCTCCACCTACATCCGCACCACCTCCATCAAGATCAACCCGCACTTCGAGAAATAATCGAACTTCTGGTGAGCAGTCTTCGTCAACGTTTGATCCCATCGAGGCTGCTCGTCAGTTGTCCGAGGAGCATATGGCACATGCCCGCCAACTCGGTGTAGAGATGATGGATCGAATGGCAGCGGTACAACGGGAAAAAAGGGAGCAAAGAATTCGTGACCTTGACAGTATGTTGCAAAGGGTCAGTCGTAATCGACAGACTGCATTGGAAGATATGCAAACAAGAAGACGACAAGAGTCCAGAGAGAGATATCGACTGCCAGAAGAATCAAGAAGTAGACGAGAGGCCGATTTGGAAAAAGATAGACGTAAACGTATCTCTGATATGGAGACTATTATGAATAGATTTGCAGAAATTCGAAGAGGCGATAGTGATACCAATCTTGGTTCATCTTCTACTGACAACAATAATTAAATAAAAAATATATTTAATATAATAAAACCTTTTGAAAACTAAGCAAGTCTATCTGTTCCCCTCATGATGTTGTTTCTTCTTAAGATAGACATTGCCTTAATACGGCGCATACCTTCAGCATCAATGGTAGCATCGGTACCGAGGAAAGGAAGCGGAGGTTCGAAGTTCACTTCATTTTCAAATTGGTTTCTACGGTCTGCCTCAGCAAATCCCTCAAAATCCAAGTTTCCATCCAAAATTGCCTCTTCGATATCATTTTGGTTTACACAAACGTTGTGCAAACCACAGCAAGATATGATGGTTTTAGCCATTCTATCAACGCTGAGCATATACAAGTGCTTCCAAAGGAATCTCCATCTGGACGTGAGCCCACCAAATGCATGTTCAATTTTAATTCGAGAACTAGAAAAGGTTGCATTGAACATTTTTTCTTCCGCAGTGCTTTCACGTCGGCCATGGAATGGAACAATGAGATTTGGCAGCAAAGGGTAAGCCGAATCCAGGTCTCATCGTTAATGCTTTGTATACCTTAAAATAATTAATGAACTTACCTCCCAAAATATAAGTGTTTGCAGGACACCATCTGGCCGCATCCAACAAAATTTTGTGATAAATCACGCTGCTTGTGAATACTCTGGCATCATGGTTTCTGCCTTAATATAATAGCAAACGGTAAGCTGCTGTATCATTTTTTTATCCTTCCACATGAACTTACCGGAATGCCCAGTTTTTACGTACATAAACCGAGTACGGGCATCACAAATTGCCATCAAATTCATGGATGCATGACTCTTTCTATCGACATAAGCGTTTCCATTTATTGCTGGTTTTTGGATCACAACCAGCTTGCCATCAATTGCACCGAGTACACCAGAAAGTCTCGTGGCACCAGGTTCACCAAGTTCTGCAAACTCACGAGCATTGTTCAAAGCTCTCTGTCTATCTTCGATGGGCCATGTTATAAGTTCGGGAGTAATCTCCAACATGGCATCAATAAATCGGTTAGTGAAATTATTGAATGATCCGGCAGTTACTCCAAGATGAGTTTCGGCAATTCGATAACCAAAATGCGTGTTAGCAAATCTCCAAAGCACACACGCAACTTGCACTTCTACAGAATAACCACCTCGCAGAATTGACCCAAGATAAGCAGCACATCTACTGAAACGATTGACGAGCCACTCGAAGGTCGACTTGTTGCCTCGATAATGAGCTCTATAGCTATGGCGGCTGTTACGATCGTCGTTCAAGTTGGGATGTTTTATCGTCCAGTATGTTTCGTACGTGTCCATACGCTCGGTTCTAACAACCCTTCTGTGCGATTCTCGGGTCATCATCCCAGGGTTGCTTATGAAGATGTAATAAAAGATGTCATAGTTGAATAAAGTGGTTGCATGCAAAATTGTTTCTCTAACCCAAAGTTGGAACAAGGAATAAACGTCATAGTTGCCTTCAAGACGAGCATAGTCGGCAATAATGTTCTCTTCGGCAATGGCAACCTATTGTTCAAGCATTTCCTCTTCTAAATCGAACTCTTCGTCAATTCTAATGATTTCTTCCATCACGGCATCGAAGTATTGATCTTCGTCTTCAAAACGGTCAGCACCATTTCCCATCCAAAGTTGCTCTTGCATTATATCGAAAAAAGTTTCGTCAATTGGGTTCATGGTAAATAGGTACTTTAAAAAAAAGGTTGATAGGCACTATTTGGACGGACCGATTCATGAGACGTTCATCGTATTTATTAGTACTCCGCAATTACGCGGTGTACCTAACAAAACCAAATCAGTCTCATAGTGCAGTGGTAGATCTATGCACCTCTCACGGCGCTGACTTGGGTTCAACTCTCGACCAGGGCAGATGCATTTTTTTTTTTGCTTGTGTACGGCTTAAATTTTTTTTTTCATGACTCGTAAATAAAGCAGGGATCAGTGAATACAGATTAAACAGTCCAAAAAAAAAATTCTAATTGACAGTTCATGTTGATAAATTTTTTTTAGATTAATATAAATAGGTCCCATTTTGTTAGGTTTTTCTTTACTTTGTAATTTTTTTCAAATTAAAAATAATATTTCAAGGTAAGTCATTTTCAATTATTCTGTAAGCACGTTATATTTATAAGTTATGGTAGATGTCTCGCACATTTGCAGCTGGTGATAATGTTTCTTCTCGTCGTCGTACTGTCAGCACCCCTGTCCCTCAGTATGAAACTTTCAGTAACAATCATAACAATCGCACCATTCACCATTTTGAACAACCTGAAACCAATGAAACCGAAATTTTTGATTCCGAATCATCCCAAACCAACCCAGTAATTCCAGAAGAAACTGTACATCAAAGTGAAAACAACCAAGAGACGTTATACTACCAAAGAGAAAATATCGTTCCAATTCCAAGTGCCAGAGAGTTTTTCACAACAATTGCTGGTACTGAGCAACAGGCTATCAAGTACGTTTTTTTGTAAAATATGATTTTTATTTATAATTAATTTTTCTGTAATAGTTTCCTTGTGAATATTGGTGCCTTTTACTCTCCCAGTCAGCGTATGGAATGCGATTGTGGACGTGTTATGACTTTTGGTTTTGAGGAGTCAAGAGGATACCGCTGGAGATGTAATGGACGGCAATTAAACGGTGTCCGAGTCTGTAATGGTTCCCGTATACCTTTGGTCAAAGACAGTATTTTTGCTTACAAAAATACGCAAATTCACGATATCTTTGCCATTCTTTACTTTTGGTTGGTGGGAACCAAAATGGGTCAAATGGAGATACTTTCTGGCTGTTCGGCTAAAACAGTTCGAGCTGTTGTCAAGTCTATTCAGCGAATGTTGCAGCAAGATCTTGACGAACAGTCCGATTGTTGTATTGGTAAGCTCAAATATTTTTTTAAACAACTTGAGCACTAAATATCTCTCGTTTATAGGCGGCTTGGATGCCGAAGGTAATCCAATTGTTGTGGAGATTGACGAGAGTAAGTTCGGTAAGAGGAAGTATAATCGCGGGCACCGTGTTGATGGCGTCTGGGTAGTGGGTGGAGTAGAAAAAACGGCTGAAAGAAAAATGTTTCTGACAACTGTTGAAAAGAGAAACAAACCAGTTCTTGAACGAGTTATCTCCCGGTTCGTTAAGCCTGGGTCCATTGTACGAACGGATTGTTGGGCTGCATACAATGGGCTCTCTCTACTCGATATCCAGATCGTTCATCAAACGGTTAACCATTCCGAGGGCTTCAATATTAATGGTATTCATACGAATACAATTGAAGGTAAATATTATACAACAGGCAAATATACAATTTAAATTAAAATTATTCTTTTAAATAACTTAGGCTCTTGGAATGGTATCAAGCAGAAGCTACCCGCGAGAAAGAGAAACAAAAAGGATATGCCTTGGAATTTGGTCGAATTCATCTGGCGTCGCAAGCATTACGGTGATCTTTGGGGTGGCCTCTTGAAATGTTTGAAAGATGTAAGCGTTGGAGGAGCGTCTGATAGTCCTGATTTAACAGAAGATCTTCTTCAGCCAGGTGACACTCTTGAGCCAGAAGCCCCACCATCCGAAACCGAAGAAGAAACCGAAGTAGAATCATCAGACAATAGTTTAGATAATGATTCAGATTATAACGAGTAAAAAAACTTAATAATGAATACAAATAAAAGTAAATAATATAGAAATAAATAAACATACACATATATAAACAAACATGAAGATAACGAATACACATGAATATAAATAAATAAACATGACAATAAGTAATTAAACATAAAAGATTGATTGAACAATTGAAATACGTAATAATTAAATGAAGACAATATTAAGTAAATAATTAAACATAGTACAAAAAAGAATAAACATGATAATAAATAAATAAATATATAATTACGTTAATACATAAATAAATTAATAGATTAATAGATTAATAAAAGAATTAAAAACATAGTCATAAACAAACGAGCAAGGCAAAAAGTAAACAAAGTACGAAATAAACAAGTATTCAACTTAACAAATTAAGCATAAATACGTAATTAAATCGTAACAAATATACACAGAACTAAATAAATAAAGGCAGTATCCACAAAAACGTTGTAATACATCAACAGAGTCACGAACAAGCTAAGTTTAAAATGATATAACTTAACATTACATAGCATACTGTTTTAATAATTGCTGTCTTTTCCTATTTATTTTAGAAGTACGTAATATATAGGTCTATTCAAAAAAAATTAAACTATTTCGAAGTGGGGTACTCTAAATAGAAGTGAAAAAATGTATTCGTGCAGGGAAGTGCACAATATACTGTGCGTTAACTTAAAAAATTGCCACAGAAATATTTCTGACTTTCACCAACACTAAACGTCTGTCG